TTTTTTAAATTGTGTGTGTGTGTGTGTGTGTGTGTGTGTGTGTGTGTGTGTTGGCATTTTGTATTTCACTACGTTATCTCTATGTGTGTATTAATTTTTATTTATCTTTTTTATTTCCTGTGAGTCTTCAAACTTAACATTCTAATTTTTCATCAATTCTAGGAAATGATTCAGTATTACCTTTTCCAATATTCATTTTCCCCAACTCTCCATTCTATCATTCCAGGATGCTATTTTACATATATTACTAGAGGCCTGGTTCACAAAATTCTTGCATGAGTAGGGTCTCTAGGCCTAGCCAGCAATCAGGACTGATTGGGGCATTCCAGCTGCTGGCTGGGGCCTTCCTTCTGGCTGCCAGCCAGGGCCTTCCTTCCCCTGGCTGCTGGCTGCTGGCCAGGGGCTTCCTTCATTCCATGCCACCCCCTGGTGGTCAGCGCACATCATAGTGAGCAGTCAGACTCATGGTCTCCCAGTCAAACTCCCAAGGGGACACTTTGTATATTAGCTATATATATATAGATAGATAACTTGTTCTTCTACATGCTGCAACCTTTCATTTTATATTTTCCTTCTGGTTGTCTCACTGTGCTGCATTTTTCAAAGTTTATTCCCATCTCTCTTCCAGTCCTCGCTGTATCTAATTAGTTGATTAATCCTTCCATTCAGGTTTGGTCATGTAAATTTTCTTGGATTATAATATACACTAGAGGCCCAGTACACAAATTCATGCACGGGTGGGGGGTCCCTCGGCCTGGCCAGCAATCTGGGCCAATCAGGCCATCTCACCCAATCCTGAATGGGGCTGATCAGGCCGGCTGGCTGGGGAGAGGGATTGCAGGAGGTTGGTCAGCTGTGGGAGGTTGGCTGTGGGAGCACACTGACCACCAGGGGGCAGCTCCAGCATTGAGCATCTGCCCCCTGGTGGTCAGTAAACATCATAGTGAGGTTGTAATGGTCGCTTAGCCTTTTTTATATATATATATGGACTAGAGGCCCGGTGCACAAAATTCATACACAGGGGTGTCCCTCAGCCCGGCCTGCACCCTCTCCAATCTGGGACCCCGTGGGGGATGTCCCTCTCACAATCTGGGACTGCTGGCTCCTAACTGCTCGCCTGCCTGCCTGCCTGATGGCCCCTAACCGATCCCGTCGGCCCGATTGCCCCCAAATGCCCTCCCGTCGGCCCAATCGCCCCCAACTGCCCTCCCCTGCTGGCCCAATCGCCCCCAACTGCCCTCCCCTGCAGGCCTGGTTGCCCTCAACTGCCCTCCCCTGCCAGCCTAGTCACCCCCAACTGCCCTCCCCTGTTGGCCTGTTTGCACCCAACTGCCCTCCCCTGCCGGCCTGATCGCCCACAACTGCCCTCCCCTGCTGGCCATCTTGTGGTGACCATCTTGTGGTGGCCATCTTGTGAGGATGTGGGGGCAGACATCTTGTGAAAACATCGCACGACGCCACATAGGCTTTTATTATGTAAGATAGCATATTATTTACATGGAAATCTTTCTAAAATAATTTAGTAAAAAGACTACAGCAAAAGTGAATGAAGACCAAATTTTACCTTTTCTGTATTGTAATATAAAGATTTCAAAGTAGTAAACAACGGTGGGCAGCCTTTACTGAAGTTAATTCTCAGGAACTTATCCATTAGCTCTCTAAATTTTTCACCTAGAAACAAAAGTGTACTTTGTTATGGTTTGATTAATACAAACAGTTCTTAAAATGATTTTATAAATAAAAATCAATTCAGAAACAAATACCCTCCTTGACAATTTTTAAACCCAAAAAGTCAGTCAGCAGCATGATTTGTTTTCTACCAGCAAAAAGCCTAACACCAAATATCTCAGTTGGCAGCTATAGTTTTCCCTAGATCTAGGTTTAATATCTTTAAGGAACACTTCCAAAGATGGATAAACAAAACAACTGTGCAGCTTGAGTAAAAATATAGTCCCCATAAATATAGTCCCCACCCTAAATATAATCCCCATAGCAAAATATCTTTCCTATCCAGGACAGAGTCAGTCCTATGAGAAGACAACTCATAAAGGACTCTGAAGATTATAAAATGATTATACTGTAACCAGACTATATTCAAGTAGCAGACAAAATATGTTTTAAAAAATATTTGCGGTATTTACAAATGTTCCAAATCAACTAGTTATTTATTTCAACATTCATTCACTCCACAATCATCTATCAAGCACTGACTATGTGCCAGGCACCATTCCCAATACTGGGTATTAAAATTTAAAAATCATGGAACTTAACATTTCAGGGGTAAGAAAGACCATAAATAAAAGAACATATGTTATTAGACATTAGACTGAGCCCTGGGGCATTCTAACATTAGAATTAAAATAAATACCCTATTTGCAATATCAAGTAAATAATACTACTACTGTTAAAGCTTCCCAAAAAATTTTTGGTATTACTTTTCAAAAGCAGATAAAAAACTGAAAAAGATATTAACATTAAATACAAAGGTTCTAACTCAGATATATGAACATTTTGACAGTAAAGGTTAATATATAAAGACATGTATTTGTCCACTCATTTAAAAAAAAAAAAAAAGAGCTAGCTGGTATGGCTCCATGGATTGAAAATCACCCCATGCACCAAGAGGTCAGGCACATGCCTGGGTACAAGCTCAATCCCCAGTAGGGGGCATGCAGGAGGCAGCTAATTAATGTTTCTCTCATCAATGCTTCTATCTCTCCCTTTCCCTTCCTCTCTCTAAAAATCAATAAAAATATATTTTTTTAAAAAAAGAATGCATGGTACAAGAACCAAGATGGCGGCATAGGTAAACACCTGTACTTGCTCCCTCGCACAACCACATAAAAATCACAACTAAAATACATAACTATCATCCAGAACTGCGGGGAAGAAGGCTGAGTGGAAGTACTACAAATAGAGGGGTAAAGAAGAAAGCGCATTGAGACTAGTAGGAGGTGCGGAGGCATGGAACGGGCTGGCACCCGGGTGTGCCGCTTTTTTAATCAGGAGGGAGATACAAGCTCCTGCTTGCTCTGGGCTCCAGTGCCGGGCGAGACTTGGGGGCACCCAGACACATACTGAAGCATAGTAACCTCTATTTTGTAAAAACTGCTATTTTAAATTTTAACCCTGCTATTTTGGCTTTTGTAAACGCTTGAATAATGGAGAAAATAAGCGCAACTATCTGACCTTGCAAGCAGCTCCGCTGATGTCCCTGGTTACTCCCATACTCCAGTTATCTGAAATGTACTATGCTCAAGTTACAAGCCCAGGTTACAAGCTTCCTGCAAAATATCTACATAGGGCAAAGCCCGCAAAAGGTCCAGAAGTATAATTCCATATTTGGGAAACAAAGGACTGGGAGAATATAAAAAGGGAGGGCTTCCTCCATGTTTTTGTTCAGAGTTTGAGAAGCAATATTCCTCTGAGCCCGCTAGCGAAATAAAAGACTCCAAAATTTGGCTTAATAAGGCGTCCTCTGTTTAGCTCGCTGATTTACATTATAACATTTGGAGGCCCCAGCGAGACAGTGCTTACCAGCACTAGGTCTCAGATGCCAAAGGCCGACAGCCTTCCGAGGCCTGGCTGCCAGCCCCCAGGAGGTCCCCAGGGGAGGCGCACCACCTGGGAAGCTTCCAGGGCCCCGAAGACACTCCTTGGTGGTTCTGGCTGCCAGACAGAGGACGCCTGACATACCCCTGCATTCTTTCAGAGTCACCAGAAAACCTCTGGAGGTAAGTGAATGCGATTAGGGATTTCGAGTTCACTTTCCTGCCTGTCCACCTGTGATCGGTAATCCTGTACTGAGAGGACTGGACGCAGTCGTAACTTCTCTGGTAGATTCTTACCAAGACGTTGGTTGAGAATCCTGTTCTTGGGGTGTGGGTTCAGGGAGGGAACCCACATCTGTTTCTGTTAGGCCCTCACGTCTGTTTCTGTTAGGGAAGTTGGGCAGGAATCCAGTTAACTGTTTAACTTCTGAGCGAATGTCTGCTAAAGTGCACTCCGAGTTCAGGCCTGCCTTTGGGGGCAGGGGAAGTGGCTCGGACTGACTGGTATGTAAATGTGAGTATGAGAGCCTGACTAAAGCGAAAGCTACTTTGTATTATCCTGTGCTTTTGTGTGTTTTTGTTAACTGAGAGAGTTTAGGCCATCTGGCTGCAAACATAAGAGTATTTGTTGATGTTTTTGTCTCTTTGTTTAATTTGTTTGGGGCAAGCCCAGCTTTAGGGGGAAGCACAGTAGGGCTGATTTTGAAATTCTGGCAAAACCAGCAAGCTAAACAGAGGACGCCTAATTAAATGATACAGAACTGTAAAAGAAATTGCAGGGTGGCATTCCAGCAGCTGCTAAGAATCTTTTTTCTTAGGAATTGTCCTTCTCTTTCTTTTTAAGTATTAGACCGCTAGAGAACTTTTAATTTGCTTTTCCTTGATTTATGAGTTTACTGTGTTAGGTTAAAATTTTAAAATTCTAAGGTTAATTTAAAGGTATAAAATTTGTAAAGGTTATAACCCAGAGAAGTTTAAAACAAAGGCCAGCTAAGTTCCAAGGCTGCTGTCAGGAAAAGCTAGAGAAAAAATTGAGTTCTAAAGTTAACTATTTGCAACAGAGTTGTAAAAAGTCATAGAAGTCTCAAGGAGATTTATATAAACAAAGACCTGTTATTTACAGCTCCCTTATCTCTTACTGCCCAGGACAGAGGGAATAGTTAATGCAAAAAGGGAGGAGGAGAGGGGGAAAGATAAAAACAAAAAAGGGGGGGGGGGGGGGGGAGCCATTTCGCTCTGAACAAAAGCCCAGAGGTTTCCAAGGGCTAAAAGGAAGATAGTACTTGCCAAACTCGGCAGGACGGAGAAATTTGCAAAACTCCACCCAGCATCATGTCCATTAAACATCCAGTTGACAGCATTAGTATTAACCAGAATGTGACCGGGATGGAAGCGGGTGGCCCACACATGCTTCTAACATCACAAGCCAGCGCAGACCAGCCAAGCCGGAACCAAGGCTAAACTTTGGAGCATGGCGGCAACAGGATGGGCAGTTCTTAAATAAGGATGGACCGTATTCCAAGGGTGGCCCTAGAGGCATAAAATACCCAGCCAGATTAGCATGTCCTTTCTTTGAACAGAAGGGGCAATCATAGTTAACAGCGTAATTAAAAAAAATAGTACTTTCACATTAAGTTATCCCTGTTTTAAATAAAGCTTTTCGGTAATAATTATGTTGATAACGAAAATCCAGTCCTCTCTCTCCCTATAAAGGCAGAAAAGTCTAAAAACAGAAACAAAAAATAACAAGGGCAATAAGACCCTTATCCTGCATTCCTCTCCCTATACAACCGGGGGAGAATCTAAGAAATCAGCCAAGAGGATAATTTATAATCTCAGCCTCCCCCTCGGGCTCCAAGTAGCCCTTTGGTCACCACCAAAATCCAGCTTTTCTAGGCTGTGAAAGAATTTAGAGCTGCAGCAGTAGCCTGAGATGTTATCTCTAAGGAAGAATATAGCAGGTTTTGCTAGACAAGTTTTAATTTACCTCTTAGTTTTTATTACAGAAGTAAGGTCTCTTGTACTTTGTTAGAGTTTTTGTTGTTGAAAAAGTAAAAGTACATTTAAGGTATCTTCATAAATATTAATCTGAGAAGTGTTATCTGTTTGCTTTCTGGTAATCATTGAAAAATTAGGGTTTCTAAGAATAAGGAATTCTAATACATTTTAGAAAAAAAAGAAAGGGCCAATCAGGTTGCTGAGGGTATAGCAAAAAGAAAGAATATTAAAGTAGAGATACTTAATAGAAGGTCTAAGGGATGGTTATGCATTTTTAAAGGACATAGAAAGAAGGTTTGAAAGCTACTTTAGAAGTATAAAATTTATAAAGGCTGTGTATGTAATAAAAAAGACAAGAGAATTATTAGAAGATTAATTAAATGATACAGACCAGTAAGCCAGGAAGAGTAAATAATTGCATTCTGCCTCCCTAAACAGAGGGTACATAGTTATGCCAAACTACTCAGGGGGACTGATAAAAGAAATCCAACTAGTATTATTTACTGTCCACACCCAGGGACAGACAAAGTTAGAAAAATAAGCCTTATTTTAGTCAGTTCTTTTCTACTAAAATAATTATATTTATCAGGTATTTAATAAAAAAGGACCATATTTTAATCATAGGAACTAAAGTTTGCTCGCCTATGTTCCTAATACACTTTAATATATAATCTTTTAGTAAAATCAATTTTGACAATCCTTCAAGGGTTTACATTTTAAGAAACTTTTTCTTGATCTAGAATTAGCTTTACTAGTAGATCATCCCAATAGGCTCTGAAATGCCTCACATGTTTGTTTTCTCTCTCATAAAGAAAGATTTTATATAAAGGTACATAGAAACCTTTGTCAAATACAGTTATAACTAATAGTTATTGATATAATATTATAGAATGTTGGGTTTTATAGATACCATTCCATATCATTTGCATTATAATGAAATCCATAAACATGTCATTTGAAATTTGTTCTTGTCATTTGGAGACTGTTTTGTTATAATACATTGAGAAAAATATTACTCTGAAAAGTCCATAAAAAGGACTGGCAAGGAAAATCAGAAGATCTTAAAGCAGGTCAGTATATTTTTCTCCCTATATGATCCCTCCGAAATTTGGCAATTCTAAA